ATAAAATATAAATAAGAAAACAATTTTTTTGAATTTACATTTATTCTTGAACATTCCTGGCATACATCATTAGTTCTTTAACAATTAACATAAACAAAATAAGGCATAAACTCATATTTTCTTTTATTAAAATCTAACTTTTATTTTGAATTTTAAAAAGAAAAAAAAAAAAACCGATTTTTAACCGATTTTTGACCGATTTTTGCCACCGAGTTTGATCCGCCTTAAAGGTTTGACCACCTCGGACCGCCTAAAACCGGCTCACAGGCAAAAAACCCATTTTCCAATCCTTTACACTAAAATTGTAAAGGTTTTGGACCGCCTACGCCTCGGAGACCGATTAATCAGCCGCCTCGGCTGATTTTTAGAACACTGTTGTTTAACATAGATTAAAGAGGAAGTTAAATAGTTGGTACAAATGATCAAAATCAAACCAATTGTCCAAAAATAGTACATACATCGATAAAACTTTATGCTGTATCGGTGGACTACATTTTTGTAATTGTAAGAGATAATCATAATTTAGATTCCTTTGATTAGGTATTCATATTTTTAAGAAACATAGTACAAACGGACAGTTGTTCATTTACAACGACTTAGTACAAAGCAAGTGAACCGTACCCCGAGGAGAAAAAACTTGTATAAGGAGCACAATCCGTAAAAGATGGTTGGAATTTGACAACTGAGAGAGGCAATAATTAGATGGAACGGAAGAGGCGTACGCCGTGTTGTTGCTTTTCGCATCTACTCATCTGTCAAACTTTATGATTACTATTTTAATCATTACAGAACTTTTAAACGGGAAATTTTTATATTAATCATCAAAATCATTTTATAACACGGTAAACATCATAAAACACATTGCATTTAAGTAAATTTTCTTTGAATCCATTTTCGTTCATTTTATTCCGTAAAATTGCTCTACTATTTAATTTTCTTTGAACCAAAATCTCATCCAGTTCAATCTCCATGTATGTGTACTCAAAAAAAGGAAAAAAAATTCCATTTATGAATTTCAAACAATAAATGCGCGAAATAATTGTATGTGTTGAGAAACTAGAAAGAAAGAACAAAGCAAAGGGGAAAGTATATTATTATCCTCTTGTTGTTCTTGTGCACAAACACATTACATGGTGTTCTATATATAGCACTAGAAAGACCGCTCCAAGGTCATGAGTTACAAGACCTTAATTAGATAATCAATAGGTATTATGGTTTGACAATGGTGGGAGTGATGGTGGTCATCCATAACGCCAAATATTCTGAACACTCTCCGTTGGATGTCCACCATTTATGGAATATGGGTCGTTAAAAACCTTGTCAGGAAAACCCAATGGGACAAAACCTTAATGAAAGAGAAATGAGTATATTTCCATTTTAACCTTACGAGTTGCGCACTACCTCGTTAAAATTTTGTCAAGAAAAAACCAGTGAGATAAAAACTTGGACGAAGCAAAAGGAGTACAGTGTTATAATAAGTGATCATGCTCCCCGGATTTCGGCATGATGTTTTGATTTAGATTATCTTCTGAATGATATACTAGGCAAAACTCCGACTTGTGAATTTGTTAACTTGTTACTTGATTGTAACTGATGAATGTCATTATTGTCTATCTTCTTTGGCCATCTTTAATAAGGGTTTCAATTTATATATTATATGGATAATTTTACCCACTTTTGTACAGGCTTCACTTTTGTACAGGCTTCACAACTTTAGTATTTGTACTGATAATGGTATTGGTATTGGTAATAGTATTGGAATTGGTAATTGTATTGATATTGGTATTGGTATTGATATTGATATTGGTATTGGTATTAATAATTGTACTGATATTGGTATTGATATTGGTATTAATATTGATATTGGTATGCATTGGTATATTAGTATTAGTATTAATATTAGTATATTAGTATTAGTATTAGTATTAATATTTGTATATTAATATTAGCATTAGTTAATTAATATTAGTAATAGTATTAATAATAGCATTAGTATATTAGTATTAGCATTAGCGTATTGGAATTAATATTAGTATGAATATTAGTATTAGGATTAGCATTATGATTAGAATTATTCTTAAGATCAAAATTATGATTAGAATTATAATTAGAATTAGGATTTGCATTACCATTAACATTAGCATAAAATGATTGGTATTAAGTTAGAATTAGCATATTTGCATTTCTATAAGGATTAGAGTTATGATTCGTTAAGAGTATGATTAGAATTAGTATTAAGATTAAGACTAACATTGTCATTAAGATTACAATTTGGATTAGAACTATGATTGAGATTAGTATTAGAATTAAGATTATAGTTAATACCAGGATTAGGATTATCAATAACTTTAAGATTACTAACACTAATAGTAATAATATTATTATCATATTAGTATTAGTATTAGCATTAGTAATGGTAATGATAATGATAATGATTGGTATTGTTATAGCTATTGCTATAGGTATTGGTATTGGTATTGATAATGATAATGGCAATGGTAATAGTATTGATATTGGTGATGGTAACTGCAATGGTAATGGTCATGGTTATGGTAATGCAAATGGTATTGGTAATGGTAATGGTAATGGTAACAGTATGGAATTAGTATTTGTATTGATATTGGTACTGGTACTGGTACTGATATTCATTACTTACACAATACGAAACATATTTTTTATTTTCTTTTACTTTTCTACTACTTTGTATTACATATCATTCATCTTACTATTTCAATAACTTTTTTTAAAATCAAATATTTATTTTTACGATAAATACCCCGTGCAACGCACGGGTGAAGTACTAGACCATGAGGGTTTCAATTTATATATTATATAGATAATTTTACCCACTTTTGTACAGGCTTCACAACTTGATAACATGTTGACCGAGTCAATGTACAATTCATTCCATCACTAACTTCAAATACTCATAATCAATTGCATTGGTGAATGCATATAGTAGTGACCAATTAGATGTCGACATCTATTAAAATTTATGAGCTTCAAGCTCTTCTTATTATAAAAATAATTGTACATATAATTATTTGATAACATCTTTAGTAATCTCCATATTTCTTTATAATTAATAAAGAGCTCACTATTTCACTTCCGGTACCGGATTTTCCTTAGAGAATTATATTCATACAAATCGGGATTGTAGCCTTTGTACCATCAATAAAGTATTTTTCTCTTATAAAGAACTTTCTACATTGCATCAATATTTTTTTATAAAAGTTTATGTGCTTGAACTCATTGTTTATTTAAAATGTCCCACATGCAGAAAATGCGTGCATTTGAGTTTCATGATGGGGAGGGAGTATTGAGGACTAGTCCACTTTATTTTCAAACTCAATATGGACAAATTCAATTTGGTACATGGATATTCATTTGAAGTATTCAATTTTGTAAGATATTATATCAGTACAACAACAAAATTCGGGACTAATGGTATCAAAAGCATGTCGATTCACTTACAGAGCAAGTTAACCATGTATTTGCCAATCAATTCTTTATTGGCACATAATGGTTCGATTTATAATGGTTTTGGTAGCTACCGTATAATCATCAATGATTTTTTCATCCAAATATATATTTCATTTATGTCACCAAAAGTGGCAAATTAATATTCTCAAATCATAGTCATGGAAATTGGGGTTGAGGCGTCCCCCAACGTTGTCTTTAAGACGAATCCTTTCATCGAATGAGATAAGTAATAGGATGAGATAAGTAATAGGAGGAGAGTATGATGCTACTAGCGCTAGTAGACTTTAGTGATACGGTATTCACAACACTTATAAGGGTGTTAATCATTCAAACCAACATATATATCTCCCACTCTTATATGTATAAAATATAATTGTTTAGTTGTATACCACAATCATTTTCACATTTCTAGGGTTAAATACACTTTCCACCCCTGAAGTATGGGATATGTAACACTACCCTCTTTAAAGTATCATTTGTAAGAGTTGTCCCCTCAACATCAATTATTTTATATTTTAAAATTTAGAACATGACAAACATAACAATATAATAATTATTGGATCATAAAAAAATGAAAAGTAACTAAAATTAAGTTATTAGAAAAAAAAAAAAAATATATTGTATAATAATGAATGAAAATATATTTTAAGAAATTGATGGACTAAAATAAATTTAAATACTTAAGATTACTATTAGTTATGTATTGATTTCTTCAAATTTATCGATATGAATATATTCGATTAATTAATTAGTCCAACAACAATGAGATGTTATTTGTTAAATATGCATCCAACGCAAGATAATATTTTTAAATTTTAAAATATTACATTTTTCAAAAGATATTTTTAGTTGTATAATTTAATTATTCTTTTAGTTATTCCTTTCAATAAAAGAGAAAAAATTAAAGTATTAGAATTTAAATTACCAAATAAATTGTGCTTAAGGGGGATATTTGTTACAAATGATACTTTATGGGGTAAATGTTACAGAGGGTATACCCATCATAAGAAATTTCGATCAAATCCAATGAATCCATTAAAAAAAATTATACATCTGAAAATATGGTCGATAATGAGTCGATTATTGGGTAAAATCATAAAAACCAATCCAGTCGCAGGCCTAATGAAGGCAAATGAATACAACTCCCCCCTAATCGATTACCTAGTCATAACATAGTGAACAAGAAAGATGAGTGGTCTATATATCGCGATAATTAAATGAAGAATAGATATATATTGATCAAGGCGGCCGTTATATGCAAGCCCATTTTTTTATTAGTTCAAGACCTCCAACCTAAAAATACTAATTTACCCTTAATGAAATTCAAAAGTAAATTAAAAATACAAAATATTAAAAAAATAAAAAATATATTTCCTTTGTGCAAGACCAAATAAAATACATAACCCTAGAAATCTCCTTTTATTATTTCACGACTTAAAAATCTCCTCCTTCTTCTTCACAAAGCCACCACGAAACCCTACACGTCGAAATTATCAAATACACACCAAACATTCACGATGGAGCCAGAAAACAATGATATGGTGGTTTACGAGGGTGGAGAACACAATAAGGTATGTTTTAACCGTTTATTTTTGCTTTTGGATCGTTTTTTTTTTATTGGAAAAAAAATCGACGACACGAAAAATCGGTATTTATACACCGATTTTGGTTGTGAAAATCGGTAACTTCAGTCCGATTATTGGAATATAAATCGGTACTCAATACCCGATTTGTGTAGTAAAAACCGGCATGACACAGCCGATTTTTTTGTCTATAACCGGTATTATCATGCCGATTTAGACTACATAAAATCGGTTCTGAAGAACCGATTTTATTATATATATATTTTTTAAGACCGTTTTCCCGTACTTTCTTGCAGCAACCTAGGGGATTGATGGAGGATTATTCGGATGAATTTTCTACCGAACAAATATTTGAGACACGAGAAGCTCTACTTGAGTGGGTTAAAGGTGTTGGTAGACGCCACGGAATGGTGATAAACACTTTCGTTTCAAATCCGGGATTGAAAGGGCGTAGAAGACCGTATGTAATACTCGCATGCGAGCGTGCGGGTGAATATCGTGGGAAGAAGAAAGCCGGTGAGGATGACCAAGGAGAGGGAAAGAGGAGGACGGGTTCTAAAAAATGTAATTGCACATTTAGATTAAAGGGGACAAAACAAGGAAAAGATACTGATAATGTTGGGTGGGATTTAAAAGTTCAATGTGGTACTCACACCCACACGGATTTTGAGAACTTGCACGGCCACTCTTATGCCGGGAGACTAACAAAAGAAGAGATGATACTTGTTGAAGGAATGTCTAAAGCAATGGCGAAGCCGAAGGCGATTCTCAAATCATTAAAGATAAGGGACGAGACGAATGTAACTGGAATGAGGACAATTTACAATTATCGTCAGAAATTGCAATTGAAAGAGAGACTTGGAAGAACTCAAATGCAAGAATTGTTTGCAAGGTTGTCAAAAGATAAGTGTACCTTCTACCATAGAGTTAACAATAATAAAGAGGTAATCGATATGGTGTGGACTCATCCGAGTTGTGTTAAGTTAGCTCGTAGCTATCCGTACGTATTCATCATGGATTGCACATACAAAACCAATCGATATAAACTCCCATTACTTGAGATTGTTGGCTTTACATGTACGCACAAGACGTTCTCCATTGCCTTTGCTTACTTGGAGTACGAAAAGACGGAGAACTACGTTTGGGCATTGCAAAGTTTGGAGAAGATACTCGGAAATTGTCCTCCGCCTAATTGCATCGTAACTGATCGGGAATTGAGTTTAATGAAAGCGATTGGGGATGTATATCCAACCAGTCATCACTTGTTGTGTCGTTGGCATGTGAACAAGAATATATATTCCACCTGTAAAGCGATGTTCTCATCTGAGAAGTTGTGGAATCAGTTTAATAGAGATTGGGCGACTCTTATTGAAGTGGAGTCCGAAGAGATATTCAATAGAGATTGGGAGATCATGCAACGGACTTTTGTTGATTATCCGGATGCCATAGCATATCTTACCAAATCATGGTTGGATCCGTACAAGGAGAGGCTTGTATCGGCATGGACTAAAAAATATCAACATTTCGGTACTTACACTTCAAACCGGGCGGAGGGTGCGCACTCTCGGCTGAAGAGCGATATGGGCAATTGCCTTGGCACATTTGTTCAGGTGTATGAACATATCAACAGTAGTATTATGACGCAACATGATGACATAAGGGCATCATTTGAGAAGAGCAAGAATACATACCTCCACTGTTTCAAGAAACCAATCTATAGTGAGCTTCGAGGAGCTGTCTCGCAATGCGCCCTTGACCACCTAAAAATTGAGCTTGATAAAGCCCAAAAGTTGCTTCCAAACAGTGACATGCTATGTGAATGTGCTATCCGTGCAACACACGATCTACCATGTTACCACGAGCTTCGCGAGTTTGTCCAGAAGAAATCTCATGTTCCACTTGAATTAGTAGGCTCCATTTGGAAGCATATGAGTATGGAGCCGGTTATTGGTCAAGGAGAGCTTCCTAATGATGACGAACTCATGAAAGGATGGCACAAACGGTTTGCATCGGCCGGTGTAGATGAAAGGAACGAAATGCTAAACAAGTTCAGCGAAATTGTATATCCTCAACGAACATCTACAATGGAGCCATCGGAAAAGGCCACCACTAGAGGTCGACCGGGAAAAAAGTTAAAGGTGGTTGATAAATCAACTCGTCGCAACCCATCGAGGCATGAGTATCCACCATCGACACATGATAGTTATTTTGCTAAGGTAAAATTCGATTACTTATCTTCAATTTTTGGAGTTGTTGATGTTGATTTGATAAATTTTTAATTTTAATACGTTGTCAATAATTAAGCTCGAAGGCGTGACGTGGGTTTGTCCTAAAATTTCACGACCTATGAAAGTGGATTTAATGCCGTCACAAGAGTCGGCTAAACCCATTTTATTACGAAAGTTGCCGGTAAGTATTTGAACGTTTCTTTAGTTTAGCTAAATTTCTTTGTCCCTCTGAACTCCTTTCGTTTTCTAATTTGTCAGGGTCGAAAAGTCAACGGCAAGGCTTTGTTTCTTGACCAAATCCATCCAATGTTTCAGACGTATGTAAAAAGTATAAAGAATGTCGACTCGGATGGTCATTGTGGATTTCGAGCGGTTGCATCGATGATGGGTTTCGGAGAAAAAAATTGGAATCGTGTACGAGGAGACATGGTTAATGAGCTATATAAGAACGAAGCAATATACCTGAAGATGCACCGTCGTCGTGAAAACATTTGTGCGTTAGAAACGCGACTGTGTTGTTTGGAAAAATATGCTACAAGAGAGTATTGGATGTCCTTACCCGATATGGGTCATATCATTGCCTCTACGTACAATATTGTGCTCGTCTACTTAGCACCACAACAATGTCTCACTTTCCTTCCCTTAAACAGTGAACCGCTGCCCTCCGATAAGATACGAGAGCATGGACTAGCTTACGTAAACAACAACCACTTCGTACATGTCGTACTGAAAAAGAATTGTCCTATACCTCCTATAGCGGATTATTGGCGACGATGCCATGATGAAAAAGCAGATGGTTGGAAGACTTCCGATATGGAATCAAGGATTACAATGTTTAGGAAGTTAGTTGGTCAAGAAGTAGCCTTGCAAGAAACCTTCATAGATTTAACATATGCAAGTGAAGACGAGATGGTAAAAGATTTTCCGTGAAACAATGTGATTGATGTACAATCATTTAAGATAGTTGGTACAATCGTATTATTATTATTATTATTATTATTATTATTATTATTATTATTATTATTATTATTATTATTATTATTATTATTATTATTATTGCTCGTAACATATATATGTATGAAGCATACCTCTAAAGTTGTATTACACCTTAGAATAATGTGTATTACGAGTTGGAAAAAACATAAACAAAAGCGAAAAACAATGACATATCGATTCTCTAGAACCGATATCTCACGGTTTTTAAAAAAAATTAAAAAAACTACCATGAGAACAAAGTTTAAAAAAAAAAAAAAAAAAAAAAAAAAAAAAAACCGACATATACCGGTTCTACAACACCGATTTGTAAATGATAAATCGGTTCTAGAAAACCGATTTTGCAACGCAAAATCGGTTTTATAACACCGATATTTGTCTGTTTTTTCCGAAATTAAAAAAAAAAGTTGTAAATCGGTACAGGAAAACCGATTCTTGAATCAAAAATCGGTATTCAAGAACCGATATTTCACGGTTTTTTTGTTAATTTTTTTTGGAAAAACCTTGATATCTCGGTACTTGAAAACCGATTTTGTAAAGAAAAATCGGTTCTCTAGTACCGATATCTATCTGTTTTCGTTTTTTTTTTTTTTTTTTTTTAAATTTTTTTTTTCAATGTATGATTACTATCATGTGCGGTAAATATATCATTAACAGCATAATAAAACCATCAAAATGAAATAGAAATCAATTTGCAATCCAATTGATCAAGTCCAAAAAAGATAAATAAAACCTATAAATACTATGCATAATGAAATTGTCTACGCAAAATACTATAAAATATAAAATACTATAAAATATAAAATACTATTTCTTCATCGTCGTCCTCCTCCGAAACACCTTACGTGGTTGGTCTGCAGGTGGGGCCACTGTCGAAGATGGTGCCGATGGTGGCGGTGGTGAAGATGTCGGTGTAGGAGCTGATGACGACGGTAGGACGGTCGATGGGGTCTCATCAAATAATGCTAAGATCTCATTCAACGTCGACCACATTGCACTATGAGCATCACTAACGTCCATTTGGCGTACGTTGGCGAGAGTTCCCTTAACCATGTCAAAGATCTTCATGTCCCTTGATTGTGGTGGATCCGTCCCATCGTCTTGCGGTGGTCGAGCTGCTTTGGATCGTGGTGCATGTGGTCGAGATGCCTGAGTGGTACTAAGGCGAGTAAGAGTGCGCTCTCTAAACCAATCCATATACGCAGAAGACGTATCGGGATGCCCATCAAGTACCGGAGTCGATCTCGCCTCGGCATCCAAGCAACACTTATCCCATCGATCGAATAAACGATCGTGGAATGGGACAAATGACATTTCAGAATTATCACGTGACCTATATCTCTTCGCCATGTATTGCTTCGCCATAGTTTCGGACATGTAGGGACACCCCGGTATTTGTTGGACCCGACTAAACTGGCGCAATACCCTATCTGGATGGTGCGGCTGCAAGAAGTCCAAGCAACATAACATTCCGCTGAACCACGCCGATTCGGGCATCGGGAAACGATCACGTAGTTCGAAATATGGGTCCCATATAACCTACGCGAATATGTTTTATTTTAACTCCTTTAAAAATCGAAAAAAAAAATATTAACAAACAATTGACAATTTACCTCATCCGGTTTCAACTCGTCTAACATCAAACGCAAATGCCGTGCTCGTTCCACACTTGTCGTCGAATTCTTCGGATACACCCATCGGTTGGCCAAGTACCCCTCAAACTGTGGCCGAAATGTTGGATTGAAGGATGGGAAATGCTCGTAAATCCACGCCTGAAAGAGCGTCAAGTATCCGTTCAGTTGCGCAGTTGTAGCCTTCGATGCTTTTGACAACGCGCGATATAAGAAGCATAAACACGCGGTTCCCCAAGCATACTCGCCAATAGTATCCACATTCTCAAGAAACTGCAACCACTCAATGCTAACCAACGAGCCCGTCTTGTCCACAAAAATTGTGCAACCTAAGAGATACAAAAGATACGCCCTAGTAGCGTATAACTTTTTCATCTCACAGTCCCTCGCGGTAATCTTGCCAAAGGTCCGATGTAACCATCCCAATTTCAATGTCGTCTCCCCAGCTCCCATAGCTTCCGAATCAGGGTATACACCCAGCATTTTTGCAACATATGTCTTTCCCCACGTATTAGATTGTCGCAATCGATTCGAAGCTACCACACGACCAACAACTGGAAGCCCTATCAGTGTACTGACATCATCGAGAGTGATGGTCATCTCCCCAACAGGCAAATGAAACGTGCATGTGGTAGGATGCCATCTTTCCACAAATGCCCTCAATAGATAACCATCTATAGCATTGTACGACGAAGTGACAAGTGGCATCAAGCCGGCCCTCGAGACAACCTCTGAAATGAACGGCGCGCACACCCATGTAACCAACTTCTTCGTGCGGTTATGGGTTCTGAAATCTTCACGCTCGTCTCCGGAAAGTATACGGTAAGAAATGTGATCCTTGAAGTTTGGGATCAAATCTGCTATTTTCGGACCTTGCGATGCGTTCGGTTGAATACTCGAAGCACCAACTTCCACGGTCGAGGCCGGTGGGGCGGACAGAGCGAGTGCGGGGGCCGTTGTAGTTGTTGCTGAAGAAGCACCTTCATCAGTCCGAGTGCGTCGACCCGGATGATTAAAAGGAGTACACCTTTTTTTTGGCTTTTCCACCTTGCTCTTTCGAGCATTTTCCTTTCGTTTGCGGTTTGAGACGGTCGGCGGTACACGAGGAGGTTGAGGTTCCACTGCAAAACATTTAAAAAAAATCAATTGCTCAAATATAAAAAATAAAAAAAATAAAAATAAAAACGAAAATTTTGACTTTTGATGCCTGTTTAAGATAAATTAATTCGTGTTTACATTTTATTTTTATTTTTGGATTTTTGGGTTTCAGATATGTTGCTATAAATCCCCGTGGAGCAGAGTCTTTGCCACCAGGAATTATTGTCCCAGAATCGGATTTGTATCTGAGAAGATTATGGGGTGAGCCTAGTGAGGTAAAATTCGAAGAAAGTGGATATGATTAATTATTTATCTCTATTAATTTACTTTGATAATGTTTAGATATGACCTTTTCGAACTCTTGGAATGTGAAATTTGGTAAGTTAGAAATGACTGTTCCACTCATTATCCTTTTGCTTGAATCTTGATCTGTTGTCTTTCAGTCTTATGATTGGGTTTATTCAAAATCGGTATACTAAACCCGATTTTGTAATCATTAATCGATATTACAACGCCATTTTTTTTTTTTGTAAAATCGAAGTTCTATAGCTGATTTGTTGAACAAATTTCGGCATCATAACACCGATTTGTGCTAAATAAATCGGTTTGTATAAACCGATTTCCGGAACCAACGAAGAGTAAAATAAAAAAAAAAAACCAATTTCAATCTCAATTTTTTTCCAAATAGCCTAAATTATTGCAACCCAACAAGAAATAAGTATAGATTAATGTTCATACACACATATTTATCAAGAATTTATGCTCGATTGATGTTTTCGTATGTACAAACAAAAGTTTCATAAGAGGGCCTTACTTGTTGGTGGTGGTGGTGATGGTGCGGTGGAGATGGTTTGGTGGTGGTGATGGTGCGGTGGTGGTGGCTTGCTGATCGTCGCCGGCGGGTGGTCGTGTGGCAGTCTTGGGCGGTGGTTGTGCGGTGGTGTTCTGCTGTATACGTGCGGCGGTGTGCGGCGGTCTTCTTCTGCCAAGGCCGTGATGCAATTTTGTTTTTGCGTTTTTTTTTTTTTATTCTTTTGAGTTTTTTATTTTTAGGTTTTGTACAAATAAAAAAAGTAGGATTAATTTGTATTTAGGTATTATTTAAGGATAAGGGTATATTCGTCCTCCTTGGTCTTGCTATAATAAAATTAAATTAATTTATGGGTTTGAACTAATAAATCCTTTAATGTGGGTTTGAACTAATAAAAAAATGGGCTTGCATATAACGGCCGCCATTGATCAAAGATAACACACAATGAAGAAGAAGATTTGGCTAGGATCAACTCAAATCTTTTTCCCAGCTCTTAATTACTAATTAGCAAAAGTGGGCAAACATTGCAACTCAATCCTTATTACTAAAAGTAGAAAAACATTGTACATCAGACAACATAAATGCTTATCTTTTCGACTTTCTTCAAAGGCAATGTGGTCTCATGCACACATTTATCAATTGATCAGTTATTCATATTCACAACGTAAGAAAAGCTGGAACTACCATTCGTTCCACCATACCCGCACCTACCCACCCCACCCCCCACGCCCAAAATTAGAAAAAAAAAAAAAAAAAAAAAATTCTATCTAGAAATCAAAGAACAGACATTTAGTTAAAATGAAGAAAGGAAGCACTGAATTAAGCAGCACATGCACTAGGTAGAGAACATTGAAGAAAGAATAGTTTTATGACTAATGCAAACAAAAAATGTAGTTTAATTATTTTGATGCAGTGATGAATTTGGAGAAATGGTGCAATAATATATAAATATTTAATGTGAAAAGTAATTGAAAGTTGTTGGGATTAGTATATATATATAAATATATAAAGAAGGAAAGAAATTAAAAGGATGGGAGGCAGGAACATGAAGATCTGATCTTGAGGCATTACAGCCCTAACAAGACAAAACAGCCTTGCTGTGTTGTGTTTCTTCCTACATTAACAACAATCTCTTTTTTTACTATTTATTATTACTATCTTTTCTGCTTTATTTGGTGTGTTTGTATTAAACACTTCAACATAGTTTCTTGTGCAAATTTTTTGACTAATTGGGTTTTCTCTTTTCATTCCCAAAGTCCTAAATATCCCTTCCATGCATTTCTAATATAACAATTCAAATATATATATATATATATATATATATATATATATATATATATTATTGAAATTAAATGAATGGGTTTGTGGGGTGCATGGTGTGGTCCATCTTTATTCTATAGCCAAACTAAATATTTTCAGAATAAATCATTTTGATGAAAGAATTAACTGAATTTTACTACGCTTAGCCTTAAAAAAACTAAGGGCAAATTACAACACCACTCAGATAAGGTCATATTACGAAAAAAACACTTTATGTTTAAGAAATTACAATCAAGCTTCAACTATGTATCTATACATTCATACTTATAGTGTCAAATTTACCAACTGAATGTGGGAGTTTTTGTAAGAAAATACATAGTTGAAAAAGGTAGTTGTAAATTACCCAAACAGGACGAAGTTTTTCGTAATTTGACATTATCTCATGGGGTTGGCCGACCCCGTAATTTGTCCAAAAACTAATTATGCCAGGTGAAACAAAGTTTTATCTTTTTTCTTTTTTTTCTTTGTTTCCTAGAGCATAGATCTATAATATTTGAGTAGCATAATTAAAAAAATGGAGAATAGAATATTAATATACAGTGAAGAATTACACCAGTCCCCACCAAACGATGTAAACCAACAGTGAACCCTTCTTACTTCCATTTCACCCATGCATTTTATATATAATGCGACAACTGAAACCAGAACTAATCTCTTTGTTTTTTTATTTATCTCCCATGTGTGGTTGTGAGTATGCATCATGTTATCATATCCTCTAAATTATTAAATGAGACTAGAAAATTAAATATGGGGGAAAAAATTCAGTAGGGTTATAACATATAATCAGATCTAGTCTTTAATTAGAATCACAAACACAAAATGGATTATATAAATGTTAGTGAAAAATGCATGATAAATAACTCAACGCAGAAAATAATTAATTAATGATTGAGGAAAATTACTATGTAGTAAGAAATTTCGATGGCCCTCTCTTCCTTATCTTCCCACAGCTTTATTGAACTGCAATTGCATCATCGCCTACAGTTAGGGGCCATACAGTGTGATCTGCGATGTGCAGTTCAAGAAAGCTGTGGAATAATAAGAAGAGGGCCATTTCTTTTTTGGACCCGTTGTCGACTCAACAAATTCATCTGCTGCCGGCCGGCAACCCTAGAGAGTAGAGAGAGAAAGAAAGTAGGAGGAGGAGAGAGAGAGATGAAGATGTAGGTTTAGAGAGAGAGAGATGAAGATGTAGGTTTAGAGAGAGAGAGGAGAAGACGTATTTATAGCAGAAATGGAAGTCTTTTCCACCAATCCCGAGAAGAATATTTTCCTATTTAAAACCCTGACTGCTTTTTTATTCAATAATTATATATAATAATGATATGATGTGAGAAATACAAAGAGCAAAGTTTTTGTAGTCCAATCGGATCCAACGGTGGTGTTTAGTGTTAACTCCAACAGCGTGATTCGTGCATATATAAAAGGAGCTATCTATATATAATATAAAAAGAGGATCTATGCCCTATATGAATAACATGTGGCAAATGTTGATGTCATTTGTTCAAATTGCTTAGTTGGACTTAAATTAATGAGGTGGATTTCTCAATTGGTTAGTTGGCAATTTTAAGTTGGTATGTATTTAAGTTCTTTCATATTTAACATTTGTACACTCATTTAAATAATTACCCCGTGTATATATATTATTTCCAAATTTAATATTCTATAAATTCGAAAAAAAATATCTTATTTATATTTTTAATATTTCAAAATATATTGATACTCAATGTTTTTACGAATATTCAACATTTTTTTAATATTCAAGTATTAAAATAAAGGAATACAATTTTTTTTCTTCAATATTTTGGAATATTGAATATCCATTCAATTAAAAATAATTATTACAAAAATGTTTTATTTTTAAATTGTACTATTTAATAAATATACAATATTTTTTGTATATAACAATTTGAAATTGCGTATTTCTATTTAGTTATCTTTTATTTTGGTAGGTGTTGAGTTATTTTCTATTTAGTTATTACACAATTATTTAATAATTACCACATGTATATATAATATTTCATGCATTTAATTTCATATAAAATCGAAAAATATTATCTTTTTTGTATTTTTTTTTCTGAAATATATTTTTCGAATATAGTATCAAAATTCATTTTTTATATTATAAATAAATATTATCGAACTTATTATCTCTT